CTGTTGCTCTGGGCAAGAGGTGGTTTTTGCCGGGGGCATCAGCTGAGTGTTCAAAATGATATGGACACCCAGGATGCGCAGGGAGGTATACGTATTCTTGTGCCCGGGCGGGCTGGGGGCAATGTCAGTTCGGGACAGTTCGTGCACGTGTGTGGGTGCGTGGGTGAAGGGTGGGGGGCGGATGGGTGGGAGAGGATTCATGTATGTGAGCCGCTGTGGATCCCTGGGTGCGAGTCCACCGGAGGAGGGGCTTCACGCTGCGTGGGGCCAGGAGAGCTTGTGTGCAAACCTGAGTTCGGGAGCATGAGGATCGAAGTGTCTCGGCCTGAGCCCCGGCCCAGTGGAGCAGAGCCAGGGCTGGGCTCGCAGGCGGGTCCCCGAACGCCCCGCCCAGCGTTGCCTCCCCTCGCCTTCCCCACAGACATTCACTACCTGCGGGGCGTGAACGACGCGCGCCAGCCGTGGCACAACGCGTGGGGCCGGCTGCGGTACGGGCTGCGGCCGCAGAACCCCACAAGGGGCACCTGACCAGCCTGCACAGCGTGCTGTTTCGCCAGCGGCTCTTCCTGCGCTGCGCTGTGCTGCTCCGCTACCCGACGCCGTCGTTCTGCTACACGCTCCGCCGCGCTCTGCGCACGTCCTTCCGCCAGCTCGGCCAGGACGTGGCGCGCTACGTGCAGGACGCCGACGTGCGCCGCGAGCACTGCGTGCGCGCCCAGCGCGGCCAGACAGAATCCTCGCTGCCAGGTTGTTTCCGGCAGGGCCAGGTGTACCTGGACGGCATCGTGAGCATTCTGCGACATCGCCAGACCATCGATTTCCCGCTGCTGACCTCATTGGGCAAGGGGTCCTGTGAGTATGTGGACCACCTGCGGCCTCATGGGGTGCTGGATAATACCTGGGTGCCCCACTTCATGCAGAACTTGGCACCTTACCGGCAGCAGCTGGAGCACATCATGGCCACCAACCGGCTCGATGAGGCGGAGCTGGGTCGCCTGCTGCCCGACTGATGTAGGTTGAGGGCTGCAGACAGAGGCCCTGGACTAGAAGCTCCAGATAAGGCCCCCAGAACATGAAGCTCTTTGCTCTGTGCTTCCACGGCCTGGGTGTTTCTTGGGGGTGTTGGGAGGGCAGGAGCATTCCTTGAGAAGGAGTGGCAACATCAAAGGGTTTGTGTCCCTTGCTAGCCTCCCTGCAGCAGCAGGTCTGGCAAACTGAGTCGCCCTCCTGCCTCCAGCTCTCTGTTGAGCAGAGGGAAGGCATGGGGGCAGAAGGAAGCTGAGTATTGATGGAGATGGGGTTGGTTTGGGAATAGAAACTTGTTCTTGCATGAGGTGGCTTTGGTTGTCCCGGTACTCCAGTCTGTCCCTTCCCTCACCTGGCCCCTTGGTGCTCCTTCAGCATTCGTGCTGTCTACCTCTCACTGGGTCCTGGTGGGGGTCGGGATCCCTTCTCCTGGGGTGATTGATGGCCTGAGCCTGGGGTCTTGGTAGTAGAGACCCAGCTGGTCTGGGGTGTGCTTTCCAACATTTTGCCTGTCTCACTGGTCATGTATTTATTCCATATTTATATGGTCTACTTCCTGTGGCTGGGAGCAGCAGCTCCTGAAGGTTCCACTGGGGGGAACAAGACACTCCTCCCTGGAAGATACCGATTTTCCTAGCCCCACTCCCATTACACACACACACACACCCCTAGCCCCACTCCCATTACACACACACACACACACACCTAGGCCCACTCCCATTACACACACACACACACACACACGGTGATTCAGGCCTTGTGAATCAAGCCCAAGAGCTCCCTTGGCCCTGTCCCCACTCCCTCCACTGGCCTCTGCTGTTCCTGTCTCTGCCCACACCCTCACAGCTGGTCTCTGGCAGAGGCTGGCGTAGTCTAGGAGCAGCTGCAATTGCGCCTGAGGGACAGTCCCTAGAGTTTGGTGGCCCAAGTCCTGAACCCCTCCTGGACCAGGTGAGGTGCAGAGGTGGTTGCTGCTTCCAGTTTCCCTTTAGACTTAGCTGTGTGAGCCCCACTCATACCCTTTGGCCTTAGTTTTCCCATCTGTAAAACTCAGAAACACAGTTGGAAAGTCCTTATTCATTTAGTCAGCGAATAGAATATGTATAGAGCGCCTTTTGTGTAAGTTACTGGTCAGAATCCTCACTGAGCTCCCAGTCCAGAGGGAAGCCAGACAATTAAAACAGTAATAAAAAAAAAAAAGAAAAGAAAAAAAGAAAAAAAAGGGATAAGAAGCCTGACATATAAATAGCATGAATGGATAAGAACAAACAACCTGACAGAACAATGCAGGAAAATGCTAAAAGTTTAAATCTTATACTTGAAAAGAAAAAATCACCAACAAAATGTGAAATAAAAATGCTCAGTTTAATTAGTTAAGAATTCAACTACATTCAAATGAAAAGAAAAGCCATTTGTCATCCTTAGAAAGAAAAATGATAAAAACAGCAGTAAAATCCTGTGGTGTGAGGCTAGAGGAAACTGGGCACTCTTGTCCCTCACATGGAGGAGGGTAAAGTACTAAAACCTTTCAGAAAATATCTACTGAAGTGAAAACAGACGCACTCTGAATCAGTCATCCCACTTTTGAGAATCTGTTCTGTGGAAAATGCATGTTCTTCCTAACCTTTGCTAAGCATTTAAACACACACATACGTATTACGACATATGAATGTTTGTGCAATGATATCTATTATGGCATTATTCATTGGGGCAAAAATCCAGAAGCAACCTTATGTCCATTATGGGTGGGAGGATTGAATAAAGTATGCATGTCTGCACTATAGAATATTTTGCAGCTATTAAGAAAGAATGATATGATTTTATAAATAATTGGAGAAATGTTCATGACATTGGTAATGAAAATGCAAGAGTAATTTGTAGAGAATGAACTTATTAAAAAAAGAAATAGGCCGGGCGCGGTGGCTCACTCCTGTAATCCCAGCACTGTGGGAGGCCGATGTCTGCAGATCACGAGGTCAGGAGATCAAGACCATCCTGGTTAACACGGTGAAACCCTGTCTCTACTAAAAATACAAATATTGCTAGGTGTGGTGGTGTGTGCCTGGTCCCAGCTACTCAGGAGGCTAAGGCAGGAGAATCGCTTGAACCCAGGAGGCAGAGGTTGCAGTGAGCCAAGATCACACCACTGCACTCCAGCCTTTGTGACACAGCGAGACTCTGTCTCAAAAAAAAAAAAAAGAAAAAGAAACAAAATACAACAGATGAGCCTTATCTTTAGTCATGCCACTTAATCTCCACTTTCTAAAGAAGATTAGTAACGGCTGTTACTAATAAGGTGAATGAATATTCCTCCTGATCTTTCTCTTGCATGCATAAGCTATTATATGCACCCATTAAAAATGCAAAGTACTGTCTTGAGGTACTACTCTGACTTCATTTGTTTCATGATTTCATAATGTGTGTGCCATTTGCAGTGTGTTGTTTTTCACTTAATAATGTGTCAGGAATTGTTCTTCATACCAGCTCAAAGCTATCCATCTTATTTTTAAAGAACTGAGTAACATTCCATAATATACTGGTAACATGATTTATTTAACTCTTCTTCTTCATATGGGCATTTAGGATGTTTCCAAATTTTTTGTTATTAACAAATAGTGTCTGATGAATACTCTTAGACATGTGTGTTTGTACACATGTGCAAGTGCGGCTATAGGCTAAGCCAAACACCTGGGCGTGGGACTGATCTGTAGTATGATATGTAACATCTGAGCTTTCAGGAGGTAATGACACAGAACTCTTCAAAGTAGATATGCTGCTTCACAACACAACTCATGGTTTCCTGCCAGCTCCCAACATTATCCAGTGTTTATTTTCCTGTCAATCTAATGGGTTAAGAAAACAGTATGTCAAAATATTTCATTTGTATTTCTTGTATTACAGTGAGACTGAGCACCTTTTGGTCATTTTTGTTTTCTGGTCTGTGAATTGTTTTTCATACCCTCTCATTGATTGAATTTTTCTTTTCTTGATTTCTAGCAGTTCTTAACATACACAGAATACTCATATTTAGTCTGATAGATATAATAAAATATTGCTCCTGAGTGAACCACCTGCACTTCAACTTCACTTTTGATGTTTTTTGTTATAGTTTGAAATATTTTTACCCTTAGAGATATGTTGATATCATGTTTTCAAATATATTGGTAGAATGCTGAATATATGTTCCTTTTGTTTGCTTGTTTCTGAGTATTGTTTAAGTGTGCTTTTGCTTTTTTCTGGATTAAATTGCCAAAGTTTCATCTTTCTTATTGTTTTTTTACTTTTTATTTATTTATTTTTTAGACAATGTCTCGCTCTGTCGCCCAGGCTGGAGTACAGTGGTGCAATCTTGGCTCACTGCAAGCTCCGCCTCCTGGGTTCATGCCATTCTCTTGCCTCAGCCTCCTGAGTAGCTGGGACTACAGATGCCCGCCACCACGCCCAGCTAATTTTTTGCATTTTTAGTAGAGACGAGGTTTCACCATGTTAGCCAGGATGGTCTCGATTTCCTGACCTCTTTATCCGCCCGCCTTGGCCTCCCAAAGTGCTGGGATTATAGGCATGAGCCACCGCGCCCGGCCTTAGCTTTTTCTAAGAACAATTTTTAACTTAATGATCAGGTCATGTCCTGTAGTATTTCTTTTTTATTTATTAGTTAATATCCATGTAAAAAATTAGTTTTCTTCTACTTTTTTTGGGTTTCATTTGCACCTCTCCTTTTTTCCTACTTAAGAATATATATATATATACACACACACACACACACACTAACTTTGTGCTTTAATTTATTCCAAGTGTCAGAAATGACCAGTTAAGGACAAACTGAAACTCTTGATGTTCTTTAAAATTTAAAAATCTTAATCCCTCAGAAGTTTCTGTCCTTTGCAGACAAGGCTGGGGAGCACAGCCTGAAACCTGCCACACCCACCGCAGCCACCCACCCACACTCACCGCAGCCACCCACCCACACTCACCCTCCTTGGATCCTTTCCGCCTTCGTTTCCGTTCTTCTCTTGCAGACCTTTTTTTCTCTTTGTGTCTCTGTCGGAGTGCTGTTTTAGGATCAGTAATCCAGGCTTGATAAACAAACTGAAGGGAGAAAGTTCAATTATTTTCTGGCCTTTTAATAATTAGAAATAAAAAAAGGGACCTACACCAAGCTTCCTGACTTTTGAAATATTTTTTCCTCCCAACACAAACTAAACATCCCTGTGCTATTATTATTATCATGAGATTCAATTTGTTTTAGAAAAAGACAATAGATGTTGTAGTAATATATTTCATCTGGTATCACAGATATCATGAGATAAACTGTGAGTATACCATACAAACCATCATTTCTCCCAAGTCCCTACATCTCACCACCATTTGTGATACTTATTACTGATACTTTTGCACTGTCCACAATAGGTATAAGCTGGAAGCCTCATTCAGTATCAGTAGTTTCTCCCATCACAAATAAACTTTGAGTCAAAACAAAATAACATCTTTAATAGTCTTCTTTACTTTGGGAAGATAGTTTTGTGCATTTGATACTCTTCCTCCTGAATAACAGCTATTACCAGCGACTTGAGAAAGCGGTTTGGAGAATGATTAGTACTTTGCGAGAAAAAAAAATATGACATTAAGGTTAAGGAGTTATTCCAGAATAGCATTAAAGAAAACCTGTGGGGCTTTTGGTTGCCTTTTGTCATTTTCATTCAAGAGCTGAAAACAGCTGCATTAATATATTATAACCGATAACCAGGAAAGAGCAATTGTGAACAGCCCCCCACCAAGAGTCTCCCAAATCATGCAGAAAGAACAAAAAGAAAACCTTGATAGAAACAGTCAGCCATCTAGCAACATGAAGTCAAGCAGGCATGCTTCTCATGCACCACAAACACACCGGGGTCTCAGGGAAGCTGGGTTTTTCATCATGATGATAAAGTTAAATAAATGTTTTCTGGGAGCTCTGTAAACCCAGATCTTATTCTATATTATTTTCAGATTTCTGAAATCTTTGAAAAACACAGCATAAGCAAATCAGTGGCACTGTGAAGTCAGTAGAAAGTAAAGAGAGATTCAAATTTTCCATATATGGAAACGGAAGGGTCATAGGTTACTATAATAGACAAACTGTTTCTTTTTTTCTCACTGGTAGAAATCTGAATTTTATGAGAAATTAAAACAAATGCAACATCTGTATTATTTCTGAATAACAAATTCCAGGAAGCAAAAAATTATTCTATTTTATGCCAAAAGCATATCTTAAACAATGGGAAGATGAACTGGAATTTTCAGGAGGACTGAATAAAGGAATTTTTGGTAGATGTTTATGGGCTATGTTAATTGGGAATTCTATCAAGATCTTTGAGTTACAGTACATTAATAAGCAAACTTGTCTCAGCACAATATTGATTGCTTTAAAATAATCTGATTATTGAACATAAGAAATTTTCAGGTTTAAGAGCAACATATGGTGACATTTCCTTTAAAAAGTGTTATCACAATATTGTTTTTAGATGATGCACGAATCCCAAAAATAGAAAACAAAAAAGTAATTGAGGATTTGTAAATATAAGAGGCGCACAAGTTGGAGGAATTCTTTTTCTCTGAAGAAAAAGGAAACTGGGAGGAAAAGGAGAGAGGAAAAGGGATGTGAAGGGTGGAATGGAAGAAGGCTTGTGGAACGGGTGGGTGCCATTAACATTTTGGTTTATAAAAGGGCACTCCTGGCTCAACAAAGGACCCCTAAAGAAGAAGCATGTCAGTGCTGCCTCACTGCCATGAGAATCGAGTATGCAAACCGGGAAAGCGGAGAGAGGAGGGAGTCATAGGGTAATTCTTTATTTGTAGGTAAATTATCTTAACTTTGATGTTTTGAAATAGAAACATTTTACAGTTCCAGGAATTATTAAGAGGGTCAGAAAAATGTTGACAATGAAGAGGAGGGGAAACGTCCCATTCCTTACTGAGTCAAGAAATGGAAGGCTTTTACCGAACTTCCCAATTCTTTTTTTTTTTTTGACATGGAGTCTCGCTCTGTCGCCCAGGCTGGAGTGCAGTGGCATCTCTCTGGGCTCACTGCAAGCCTCGCCGCCTCCCAGTTCCTGCCATTCTCCTGCCTCAGCCTCCCGAGGCAGCTGGGACTACAGGTGCCTGCCACCACACCCGGGCTAATTTTTTGTAGTTTTTAGTAAAGACAGGGTTTCACTGTGTTAGCCAGGATGGTCTTTGATCTCCTGACCTCCCGCCACCTTGGCCTCCCAAAGTGCTGGGATTACAGGCGTCAGCCACTGTGCCCAGCCAGAACTTCCCAATTCTTACTTTGCAGCTGCACCTGTCAACCAGCTGGATGGGCCTCTCTGGAAAATCAGACACAAGCTCCACGAACCAGGAGTAGAAAAGTATGTGGAAATTTACATGAAAGACCTTTGAGCTCTCCAAAGAGTTGCTACCAGTAGCATGCGTTCCTGACTTTATCTTAAATTTTACTATATATATCAGGGGAAAATAGGATTCGTTTTACTAACAACTTATGCGAAAATGCACTTATTCTTTAAGACAGGGAGAGCTTTATCAGAGTGGAGATCCTTAACTGAAACTGGTGAAGTTTCATCATCTGTCCTTTGATTCAGGTGTGGTCTAGCACCTTCTTTATGTTGTCTGTAAGATAATTTTTTAAAAAAGAAACTAAGATGGGGGATAATTACATTGTTATATTTTATTTAAATAAATTCTTAAAGATGAATTGGGAAAGTCATATGGTAGTCATAGAAAAGAAAAGGAAAAGAATTTGGGGGAAGCAGAAATGGTAAATACTACACTGAAAAACAGGATCCTGGCATTTTAAAAGCAGAAGGAACCTGGAGGTGTGGATGCTGCTACTCAAGGCCCAGCCACGGTTGTGCTTCACATGAGAGCTTGAGGGAAATGCACAATGTGAGGTCCCATAGGATCTGCTGAATCAGAACCTGCATTTAAATTAAGATCCCAGGGTAAAATGTGTGAAGCACTGGTCTATGTCACTATCGAACTGCTTGGTTAGCAGTGGAGGGACATACAGACCAAAGCATTTTAGTGGCTGCCCCTGACTGAGTTCGGGAGAAAGGGCTTTCTATAAAATGTAAGAATAGGAATTCATTATTAATGTTTTTCCGTAACGAAGTGACTATAGCATAGGTAGCTGAGTAACTTCAATTGTGCATTAGATTAATCAACAAATAACTTTTGACAGTATAATCAAAAGCCCTAGCACGGATCTGTGGTAGTGAGGAGCCTGCAGACTGCACTGGGTAGATCAGCCCAGGGAGAAGCTGGCTGTACCGAGTGCAGAAACTGGAAGATAGAGACTGAAAGGGACTCGAAAGAGAGATGGAATAAAAGACATCTTTTATTAACTTATCCAGAATTTTACCAGCTTTCTGAGAAAAATTATCACCTTTTTTACTCATCAGAACTGATGCATGCAACCAGATGTGCCCCTTTTAAAATGAGATGTGACTTAGGCAACACCATGAGGAGGACGGAAAGTCTATCTGTATCTGCATTTTCTCTTTCTACTTTTCGATAGTCTCTGGTGTCCACTTAAGAACAAGAGTCAAATAATAAGAACTTTGGCTTCTAAGAACTTGTTTTGGAAAACTTTTTCTAATATTTTACGTTCCTGTAATTCCTTCATGGTACCATCTATAGAACCGAGAAAATGCAGAGATAGGGCAATAAAGGTATATTTCTCTACAGTTCTACAGAGCAGAGAGTCACACACTACACATCAGTAAAACATCAAATACCTTTGCAGCTCTGATTAAATACTGAAGAATAGTTTTGGGAAGTTTAATGACAGACTTTGGCAAGGCTAAAATGGCTGATGCAAACTTCCCAATAGCTCTCTACAAAGAAGGACAAAGCAAGAGTAATTAGTAGAAAAAAACAAAAACTAGTAATTTAATATATGATGTCAGTATGAATCCGTCTCTACTGTTACACCAACTAGGTTAAAAGGTGCCAGTCACTGAAGCTGGAATAAAATGTGCTCTGCTTGTAAATTAGGAATAAAGAAAATAGTCAATCATTGCATGTAATCCATCCAACATAGTGAAGTTGTTCATGTTCTCTCCTTGGCTGCATGATGAGTGGTGGTTAGAATAAAACTCTTTCGAATAAAAATAAATGAGTTAAGTCATTAGTATAAGCCTGTTGCAAACATGCGCAAAAACTCGGTCATGAAGAAACAGACACGAAGCAATGGGGGAAGAAAGAAAGCATGAGACCAAGGTGTCTCTTCGGAGAATTCAGTTTTTCAATGTCATTGGGAAAACAAAGCATGGATGGGCCCCACCCACTTGAGAAGGCCTGGGCAAAAAACTGACGACCTTATCATGGGCATATCATGTGGCTTGATGGACATCATTCTATGTGCCTCATAGGAAAACAAATGGGAAATAACAGCCCTAGTATGTAGTTGATTGATAAAAGAAACACAGACCAATTTTCATTCTATACGTAACTCTAATGACAAAGCCTCATCTTTAACAAGCATTGATTCACATTCACTCAATATGCTACATTAGGCTGGTGAGCTATAGCTGAGAATGGGACAGCAGGTTCTAAAACAGAAAGGTAGCTAAGCTGAAGAAACCAGAACTGTGCCACGTATTTTTATTACTAGTTCAATATATTCTCAAATCTTTAGCAATACATATGAAATGGTTTTCAAACTTTGAAGCAATATTTAAATGATCATTTGCTCCAAAACAAAGAAAGGATTTTGTTTTATCGCCTATCTCACATATTGAAATGTAAGTCCAAGCAATCCAAAGCAATGCCAGAGAAATCTTTTTCACTTCCTGCTTGCAAGAAAAATGTTGAGTTCACCCAACGAAGCTTTATTTTTTGTTTATAGTATCAGAAACTGTTTCAGTGCAAGTGAATGAAAACCTGGCCTGCACACGGTTCTTACTTGATACTAATTACGGTGTTGCTGGGAGCAGGCATCATTACAATTTCATTAGAAATAAAGAACGGCAGATGTAAATCAGAAGTTTCGGGGGAGCTATGACATATGAGTATGACAGTAGGCGTCCTAGGCCTGCAATCAAGGTCTGTCAATAAGAAAAGCTCTTCCAACTAGTAAAGGAATGATTTTCCCCATAATTACCTGGAATGCTGACCTTCGTGGAGGCTCTTCATCTTCCTTCTTTAATTCTTCCTCTTCCTCCTCTTCACTATCCGTTTCAAACAAATAATAATCTCCACTCCTGACCACTAAGTGAAACAAAATATTCACTTATTTCTTGAAAGACATATAAGGAAATTGGGGGCTTATTAATGAAATGTCCCCTAAAGATACACAAATTGTCCATAAGAGAACCAGAACGAGAGATGTTGGCAGAGAGGAAAACACACGAGATGAAGAGAACTCATCTTCGGCTAATGCTACGTGGTGTTGGTATGTTGGGTCTACAGAGTATGAGGCCTTGTCTTTGCCATATAAGAGAATTGGCCACTACAGGGTGGTTCTGGTATGTTCTCCCTTCTTCATTGTAAATTTTACATAGATGAAGCAGATCAACTCTGCAGTAACCAGTTTTGATACCTTGATGACCAAAATAACTGAACACTATCGTTTCAAAATTCAGCAATTTTGGTCTTTAGACAAGGCCAAAGTGAGGTGGAGGATCAGGATTTGTCTGAATGGGCCCAAACTGTTGCAGATAAGCCAATCAGGACGATTCAGGACCAAGGTCAGTGTCACCAACCTCCTCCTTCACTTTATACTGTGCAGACCTGACTTCTCCACATGTAACACAAGGGACAAAACATACATGGCAAGACATTTCAAAAAACAAACAAACAAACAAAAAAAAACACCCACACACTGCCATGAGGACGAAATGGGCAGGTAACATTGAAAACAAAATAATACAACACAACAACAACGACAGTAACAACAAAAACACCAACAACAGCGCTCTGGCTGCTTCTACGTGTCATAGCCCTGAGACAGACTGAGAATGGCAGACAGGGTCCATAGGGTTTACAACTGCGAGGCTTCTGGTCAACAAGGAACTCCCCAGCAGCTTTCTGAAATTTGAGGAGCACTCTACTGACCATAAGACACAAAGCACAAACAGTATGGATCGTCTTTGCCTTGTCTGATGCTTTCCCTGCAAGAACATAATGCCTGTGTCAAGAGTTGGGAGCAGAGAAAACTACAACGTACAGAGATTTAAGGAAATTTAATAAATTAAATCTTTATCAGTTTGATCATTATTTTAAGTCTATCAGAGAAAAGAGGCCCAGCATATACATTTCTGATGCTACAAGTAATGTCCCATCATTGCAGGAAAACATATTTTCAAATTATATTCAGGTTTTCAAATGCTCATGTATCTTTTGGATGACATATTGTGATATCTTAAGTTATCTTTTGGGCCTATACATTTTAAGGTAATGGAAAACCTTGGCTTGTTTAAAATTAGTTGCTTGAATATCACTTCACATGGCCAAAAGTTAAGTAATTTTGCCCACGATTTCAGAAGAATCTGAAGCCTCCATTCATGAAGATACAGAGTGGGTGAATTGGGCCTTATATCCTTGAACAGAAGCACTGTCATTTGTTATTTTCATTTTGAAGAAAGAACCAGGCCCAGAGTACTGGGTCCAGGCCTTAAGAAATAAATGCAATACAACACAAGTGAGAATAAGCAAGAACAAACCAAAGTTACAGCATTACATTTGACAGTGAAAAAGACCATTAAAGTAATGCCTTCACATAAGCCGAGAGATTCGCAGGAAAGTGACGTGGACTCTACATCACGTGGTCGTTTGGGAAAAACACAGACAATTATAAGATTGAGCATTTTACCCTCATTATAAGTTCCAAAATCAACATTAGCTTAAATTGTATTCAATCATACCTTCAATAACTTTTATTCATCTGGACAAGTTCAAAAGGTTTTCATCTCAAGCAGTTGTAACACTGGTTTTATCATTAGAAACCACCAATATTTATGTGAACTAGTAGAATTATCCCATAATAAAAAAGAAAACATAAAAAAGTCTCTTATTTCCTTATAAAATGTTATTGAAATGAAACTAGGAAAATAAGAGCATATTTTCATTCATGCCATCTGTTAAATAGTTAGTAGAAAAGCTCTTATACACTTGTTTGTTAGCTCAGATGGAGAACCTGACTGCAGTCTGTGTCCACATACATATCATGGATGTTGATGTTACTGCTAAATTATTAAGTTTGAAATTAACTTTTTAAATTCCACCACATTTATCCTCAGAACTTGGCCCTCTGTTTCAGATAATTATCAATAAGATGAAGTTTGGTATTAACTGAGGCAGTACTGAACCAGTATTGAAAGACAGCATTGGAATGGAAGGTATCATTGAACAGCAATAATGCAATCTTATGTGTGTACATAGGTATGGAAGTAGGAGATTTGTCCCTGTACAGACCATGCTAAGATCTTCACTGCTCACCAATAACATCAAGAACATAGCAACATTTTTGTATTGTCAATAGACTTACACATGTGTATCCAACTACACTAATTCTTGCACTTGGCTTCTCTAAGAAATCGTTGTTTGAAAACCCAGTAACTCAAAAGATCAAATTAAGGGCTTCAAACAAAGTACTTCCAGATCTAAAGATAAATTCTGGAACTCATCATAGACACAACAATAAAGCACACATTCTTTCCCTTTCATTCTTCATTTGCTTGTAAAAAGAAATATATTTTGCAGCAAAAAATTTAACACCACAGTCTGAAGGATTCCAAACTACGAATTACACACATTTCTGCATTATTGCATCATAAGGTTTTGTAACAAGGCACATTTAGTTTAACATCAGTCTTCAAGAACTTGATATAATGAGGGTGAAATGAACCAGAAAATCTAAAATCAACAACCTTCATAGGAAGTTCTTTAAATTATTACAACTTGTAAGATAGCTATCAAAGACCATATCCAATTCCTTTGCAAATGCAATTTTTAGATGAGGAAAGGAAAGGCAACCACAATGACTGCAGTGGGAATTTACCCCAGGTGAAGTGAAAAAACATCCAATATGACACAGTTTTGAAATGGATAGGTCTCTCTAAACTAGCAGAGGCCCTTTAAAAACATAAAGACAAGCACAGTTTACTTGTGACTTGATAGAAACAGGCATCTTGTGAACTGCATTACCAGATTGTTAGCGTGACCGTCATGCCCTGAACAGTAAATAAGAGTCACACTGGACTCTGAATGGAATCTTTTGTCTTTGGACTTGGGGAGAAAATTAAATAAAACTCTTTATAATCTTGTGTTTTTCTTTTTCTTTTTTTGTCATAATGTTGAAATTCAATATTTAGAATTAAATTTGATTACATCCAGATATGCCAAGCAAATTTCAAATATTGCTTCATTAAACCAGCTTTCTAATTTAGAAAATTATGTCTTGGGAGAGAAAGCCAATGTCAGATCTATGTGAAGCCAATAATTAGGTATGGGAAGAAGTTCTAATTTATTTGATTTCCTAGTGATTCTAAATATCCTCCTAGTAGATTCACTCCTACAACTGTGTGATGTTATTTGTCTCAGTGATATTCCTTGTCCGATTAGATTAGCTACAAGTATGGAGACATCGTGTGAGATATAAAAGACTGAAGAAGACATTATATGTGACTTGCAAAATAATAATTATTCAATATTCTAAGAAATGTAAAGAGGACTGGATTGGAATCGGTCATTCCACTATAATGCCATTGACCTATAGTGATATTTCCTTTGCTAAGCAGAGCAAATATAGCCACCAAGCTCCAGAATTCCTCATTCATCTCTATGATCAGGAGGGAAACACATTGCATTCTATGTGGCTATCAGGATCTGCTTTTAAAAATCGTTTTCTGGTTTTTGCTGTTCATTGGTCATCTCTGAGCATCAGGAGGCTTGAAGGTTGTGCCGCATTTGGGCATTGGAATTTGGAGTACCTTTTTGAAACTGGGGAGGAGGCGAAGTAAGAAAGTGAGTGCATTTTAAGTTATCCCTCATTTTTCTATTTAATAAATTGCCAAAAATCTTCAAATGCAAATAAAATCAAAGCTGTGGGAATGACGGGAGGGGAGGCTCACTGGCATCCATGCCTCGTGCCTTACAGAGAGGGTCACTGACACTTTGAATAGAATGACTATCCTTACATCAGAGTCCAAGGTGGAGCTCAAGCTCATTTGTAGTAAGGGTATTTAGCCATAAAATATGCATGTGAATAGGGCTCTAGACCTCAGAATTGGACAATATAATATTCAATTCTTCTTCCCTTGCTGAGCCCAGAAATTGTACTCTAGAGTCTATAAGCCACACGTTTGGCTTTCTTCAGCCAGCACAGGAATGTTTGTGCTGATGTCCCTGGAAGAATTGGACCTCAGGCTCAAAGACCCACTGACATTGAAATTTTCCTACACTCCGACCCCCTATCAAGTCACAAGGATCAAACCATGTATGGAACACATGGGTCACGGGAACGCCTGAATTCTGGTCAAGGATATAAGGGTTAGAGTTGATAAGGTTGTAAGAGGATCGAGAAAACCTACTGGAAGCATGATCAACCCAAGGCCGCCACCACTGCTTTTTTTTGCCCTTGGCTTTCTGTTTGTCTGCTTCTCCTAAAATAAAATACGTCCAAATATTAATTCGTATAAAGTGAGAAAACAAATTTTGAAAACCACGCTTTAACAACTCAATTGTCAAATCTAGATAAATTGCAAAAGTATATCAGAGGTCAGGTAAGGAACTATATTGAATCTGAAAAATACACATGTATTAACAGTCAATTTCACAAGATAAATACTAATTGTTCTTTTAACAGTATGCTACATTTTCACTTTCTTCTTAGTGACTAAGGGCATATAAAGACATTAAAAAAGAAAGGATTACCTGTCAAAAATACATCTCACATTGAATATTCCATTGAATTAACAGAAAGGAAGCATCCCCCAAATTTTATAGAATCATTTACTGGCAAATAATTTGTTAAAGTACATAAACTACAATAAGTAGAATTTTTTCTTGTGATTATTTTAATGCATGGCTGGAAAATATAAATTTCCTGGTCATGAATAGATACTATGCACTGGGAGAATATCATGCATTATTTCTCCATTCCATTCACATAGAGAAGCATGCAAGCCTCTACAAAAGATCCTTTAAACTTTAATTTGATATAATAAATCTATAATTAGATATAATCAATATATATTTCATGGTAAGTTTCATTTGAGCAGGCAATAATTGAATGATATTTTAGGTACCAATATTCAGGTGCCACATAAAATACACATATATATTTCATTTCCATATAAAATTTATAGAAATAAAAGATAATAGTAGACTATATATCGGAAATATATCCCTTAAAGAAACAAATTAAGCGGGCTGGGCGTGGTGGCTCACGCCTGTAATCCCAGCACTTTGGGAGGCCAAGGAGGGCGGATCACGAGGTCAGGAGATTGAGACCATCTGGGCTAACCCAGTGAAACCCCATCTCTGCTAAAATACAAAAAAATAAGCCGGGCATGGTGGCGGGCATCTGTAGTCCCAGCTATTTGGGAGCCTGAGGCAGGAGAATGGTGTGAACCTGGGAGGCGGAGCTTGCAGTGAGCCAAGATCGCGCCCCTCACTCCAGCCTGGGTGACAGAGCGAGACTCCATCTCAAAACAAATAAACACAACAAAACAAAAAAAGAAACAAGCAAAATCCTGCCAATCTACTGCAGAAACAGATGTCTGTGGAACAAAAGCTAGGTTATGTGTTTGTTAAAGCTATCTTGCTGAAGAGTAGATACTTGTAATTGATTTATCAAATATATACTTTATGAAACTAATGAATGTATATAAAGCCTGCTGAATCAAAAAAGTATTGATAATCTTGGCAGAATAACAAGTAATGTTATTTTACAGCCCTGCTCAATATCAAGCTACTATTCAATGTTAAGGTACTTGAATAAGAGGAAAATGTCTTGACGTACTTTCATCATCCTCTTCAGAGAGTTTTTGCATGTCCTGGCCTTCCCCTGGCTCCTGGGTCAAGCTGAGCATCCTCTCCTTACCCTTTTTATATTTCTGTTGCCTGGCCTTGATGCGATCCATCCTATAAAGTAAAATAACATTAGTAATGCCAAGAACACATTCATTGTTCTCATGTGGTCAGTACTTTGGACTTATGCTGGTATGTATGTAGCTAAATTCATGGACAAATCACTTTGGAATATTTGGGAATTGTACAAATTAGCAACAAGTATCCCTTTCTTTTATATACATACTTGTGTGTGTGTGTGTGTGTGTGTGTGTGCGTGCGCGCGTGTGTTTGGGTCTGTATTCCCACGTTATTTGGCACTGCATAGATGCTAATCCTAATAATATGATCAATAATGATTATGCTAAAGTTAGGTAAGCTATACTTGATGTCCACTCACATCTTGTATCATAGTCAGCTTGAACATTGCATATTATGAAATACAAGTCCTTTATTCTCCCAAGTTTTGCATTCTTAAACAAATGGAAAGATTTAGCAAAGAGAATTACAGTAATAGACCTCACTTATGGGAAATTAGGAACATATTCTAAACGTGAGTCCAAATTTTTTACTCTTCTAGGCCTGATTTGGATAACTAGAAACACCAGTAAAAACAGTTGTACCATATTGCATTTACATTATAATTTTTTATATATAATTTATGTCTTTATGAAAATAATCATGCTGTGGAATAATCTAATTTATACTAAGAAATATTTCTGCTTGGGAAAAAACGCTGGGAAATAAGGTCAGAATGAGATAAAACTGCCTTAGCAAACGTAGGGAACTTTCCCAGTGGGCAAATGGTGTCTCCATTTTCTTGGGAAAAGTGTCTAGGCTTATAATTCCATGGCCATCGTCTTTTAAACCTGGTTCCCAAACAGTCCTCAGAGGTTCCATCATTGCTGGAAAATTCACTCTAAGAAGATTCTTTTCCATGGAATTCCCAAGTCTCCAGAGTGAAGTCAGTCTACCCCTTGGCTCATCCAGAATGGGATAGTAGGAAAAAACCTTAGATGGGATATAAAGAACCCTGGCTTATATTTCTAGTGTTGCCTCTAGTTAGTGTTGACTCTAAGTCATCTAATACCAGGGTCATCAGTTTCCTTCCAAAGAGACTGGATGATATTATCTAAAACTATGCTTCCAAAGCTGACTCCACATTTACCCCCTTAGAGGGAATGGATGCTTATATCAAGTACTTGGCACTGAGCAAGACCCTGTCTCATTTATTAGCTAGTTTAATCTTTACAAAAACCCAGGAAGGTAGAATTGTGAGTCCGGAAAACTCAAATTTAGAGAACTTAAATGACCTGTTCAAGGTTCTAAAGTAAGTCACAGAGCTAGCAACTGATCCCTGGTCCTCTGCAAGAGAGCGCCCATCTCCACCATCCTGGAGCGATCTTTCTGTTAAACTGCTTTCCCTTTCAGTCTAGTGGCATGAGCAATTGCCCCCGCACAAGAATAAATAAATAGGAAGTTGTGAAAGTCCATACATATATGTTTTTCAGGGGTTTGAGGCTCCCCAAGAGTGGAGCGCCAGCTGAATGTGGTCACACAATCAGGAGACGGAAGGAGGATGAGCATCAGTAGCATCCTTACTGTCGCTTCAGCTGGTCCATGGACTTCTTCTCTTCCTCAATTCTTGCCTTCACAGCTTTTACAATTGTGGCCTGGAAAAGTTCAGCTCCTCTAAAGGGGAAGTGGAAACATGAACAAGTCAGTATTCTTGCCATTGTTGTTCATCTCTTCCTGAAAATTATTACTAAGGCTCAGAAAACATAACATCTCTTTATGGCAGCTGCTTGTAGTTTCCTGGCTGGAAGTGGGAGTCAACAAGGCCCCTTCTAGAAGCCTTTTCCTACTAGGCTAACAGGGCACAGCCTTCCCCCTGGGAGTGAAGAGGCTGCTCACAAGCCCGGTAGTGAAGATCGGTGAAGAGAAAGTGTTTTGTATTCTCCAAGACACTGAAGCCCACGAGCCTCTTCAAACCTGTCCCACTAAACGTTAGACTTCAGTAAAGCATTCTCACCTGACCTTATTGCAGTTATACCAAGGGGAGAAATTTGCAAAAAGGGTACATTCCGATTCATTTTCTACTCAGTGAGCAGAAACTGGGGATTCCTTCAGGGACTATGTGAAGGCCAAGTTCCTGCTCCATCTGCAGGACTTGTAGTCTCTTGTCCCTGATTCTCTTCTTCCTGTCATTCCACTCCCTTCTGTTCTTTCTCACTTTTCAGGTCAACTTCAGTGTCTCCATAAATCTCCTCAACGTTCTTCATATTCTCAGCTCTGTCACACTATTACGTGCTTCACAAATCCCAGATCTGCAGGAAGCTGACGGTGTGCCCGCCCTGTCCTGAGAGGGGCTGTTGGCAGCTGCTGGAAAAAACAGCCGCCTGGGCAGACGGTTCTCTGCAGAGCCCCCGACTCCTTGGAGTCTTCTGCTTCTCCACAGTGGCTGTTTCAAACTCTGCTACGCTTTTCTCAAGTCTTTGAAGTCTGTGGAGTGGTTTTTCACTCCTAAATGACCTAGCTTCCTGCTTCCCAGAGGGAACACAAATCTTAAGGCAGTAAGTTGCTCAGTTTCCTGCACCATCCCTCCCACAGGAGTCCTGCAGGGACAGTGGAAGAGGTACCGTTCACCTGCCTAGGCCTGCCTTGTGCTCCAGGTCCCTTCCCCACCCCTAGCCTGGGGGACACAAAATTCCTGCTTCTCTCTCTCGTTGCTTTTCCAACCTTTCCATCAGTACTGAATTCTGTCCATAAACATGCAAATGTGCTCAAGTCTTGCTAACCTTAAAAAAAAGAAAAAGAAAACCCATACATCCCCACATCCCACATTTTCCTATGCAGGGACTTACATCACTCCCCCTTCACAGTCAGATGTCTTGAGATCTTGTCTCTAAGCTTTACAACTCCCACCTCTGCTTGTTGCTGTCTGACTTTGACCCCACTGTCAAGGTCACCAATTTCAATGTTCAGTTGTTATTTTCGTCCTAATATAACCTATCTGATGGACTTCCACTTGGAAAGAATCTTCCTCAGGCTCCTAAGCAACGTGCTCTCCTAGTTTTCTTTTTCCTTTGTGGCTTAGGCTGCTTAGTCTTCTTTACAACCTCTTTCTTTGCCCATCTCTCAAACATGAATGTTCCCCAGGGTTCTCTTCTCATTTTTCATACCCCCTCTCAGCAGCTGCAACTCACCTCCTTCAATTCTATCTGTGCGATGATGGCACTCCATCTACTCTCTTCTCCAAGCCTGTCCATGCATCTGCCCACTGCACTTCCCAACTGGTTGAGTTTCATGTGCCCATGAGACCTACAACTCCACAGCTGCGGTCGGTCTTCTCTCCCTGTTTGAGTTCCTATATTTGGGACTGGCACCACTGTTTGGCTAAGCCAGAATCCTGGGCACATCACCCTCTATGCTTCCCTTTCTGTCACCGTCTCCCTTCCTTCCAAGCAGTTTTCCAGCTGTGCCTATTTTGCCTCTGGAATATCTTTCTCAGTGATCCTATCCTGGTCTAGCTGCTACTTCCATCCTGAATTATCATTGCAGCTGCTTAGCTGTCTTTGTGCCTACAGTGCTGCCTATACCCATCTGTTCTCAATACCACAGAGTGAGCTTCCTGAAATGCAAATACAGTCATACCACTTGCTTGTTTAAACACTGCAAGGCCTTTCTAAGACTGTGGGAGTATTTCTAAAGACATAATCCTGGATGATAGCCCCCCAAGGACCTGGTCTCTCCTGACCTGGAGCTTATCGCTCACCACTCACTGTTCTCATCTTCCAATCTCAGTGCTGCAGTCACTGTGAGCTTCTGATGGCCACTTCCCTCCGTAGCTTCACTGGGCTGCTTCCCCTGCCTTCTCCTCTGACTAACTCCTCTTCATCCTTCAGCCTGCACTGGGAATGGAAGGCCACCTGGTTCACACCCCTGCAGCTGGTTATATTCCCTTGATATGACCTCATGGCTCCCGGAGTGTCTCCTACCGTCACACCTGCTGTCGTCTGAATGTCTGCATCCCCTACAATTCACATGTGGAAATCCTGACTCCCAAGGTGACGGACAGGAGGTGAGGCCTTTTGGAGTTGATTGAGCGGAAAAGCAGAGCCCTCCTGAATGGGATTACTGTCTTCATAAAAGAAGCCCAAGGGAGGTCTCTTGCCCCTTCCACCAAAATAGGATGTAGTGGGAAGATGGCCATCTATGAGGAAGTGGGCCCTAGGCTGACACTGAATCTGCCTGAACCTTGACGTTGGACTTTCCAGCCTCTGGAACTGTAAGAAATAAGTGTCTACTGTTTACAGACCACCTACTTTATGGTATTTTTGTTATGTCGGCCCAAATGGACTGAGACGATACCAGGTGTACTGCAGTAGAATTGCTTGCTCACGTGCCACTTGCCTGCAGGTCTGTGAGCTCTGTGAGGGCAGAGGTGAGCATCACCTCTTTGTAACAGAGTAGGAAGTGGAAAAATGGATGCATGAATGAATGTGAATTCTTTGGACACACTATTATGAGTTCAATGCTTATTTATCAACTCATGGCTTTTCTTTAATAGGCATGAACTGTACTCTGAACCACAGTTATCGCTCTTACTATAACATGAAGGGCATGATTTCTAAATCATTGTGACAACTTCGGGAAAAAGACACTGGGGAACATTCACATTTGACAGATGGGCAAAGAAAGAGGTTGCAAAAAAGACCTAGAAGCCTGAACCACAAGGGAAAAGGGGAAATTAGGAGAGCACATTGCCTTAGGAGCCTGACGAAGACTGTTTTTTAGTGCAAGTTCATCAGATAGGTTATATAAGGACCTCTGCAGACCAAATGTTTTGGGAAAGGCAAACAAGAGACATTTACCTGCAAAAATACCAGCTGTTTATGTACAAGTAAATAAGGTTACTATTGGGATGAAACATTGTATTCTGCTCTGAAAAAAATGTCCTGGGTATTAGAAAATGATTATAACAATGAATTCCAGGGCAATGTGGTACACAAAGTCATTGTCATCCACAGAATGAGGGCTAGGTGTGCCACGAGGCTCCTCTGACTAACTGCAGGTCCCCGACTAGGGCCTCTTTCTATTTGACTCCAAGTTAGGTAACAGAGGCTGACAACTGCCATCATATAAATGGACCTTGGAAATAAACATTGTGTTTATCTTGGCAGGGAAAGAGAACAGACTCTAGAAAAACTGTAGGTAAACACAGATATGTTAATCTAAACCTCAAGTCAAATGATAGATATTGGTAATTTCATATAATAGAACCCAGTATCCATCAGCTTATTCACACCAAGAATCTGATGGGACCTAGGCAAGGTCTGAGTTTCTGAGAGGAACAGACACAGCAGCTGGGGGCCACAGAGCTAGTCATCAACACCCAGCCGCCGCCTCAGGGCACTTCGCTTTATTACCTCTCCCCAATCTTTTTTCCTAAACTTACAAGAGCAGGGGCAAAAACTGGAAGAAGAATAGAGCCTAGGAGGAAAAACAGGTAGTAATGCAAATTGTGTCAGTGGCTCAGAGAAGAAAAGCAGGCTAGTAGGGGGAGGTAGGTGTAAGATGGACTAAACTCTAGACCAGTGTGGCATACGTTACTGTTTTGTCTGAGACCAGACTGAGCCACAGGTGGATTCTGAAAGGGCTCCAATTGACCAGTGAACCTCTGGCCTTCCATGGCATCCCCATTCCTTGTGAAGCCTGATGGTTACATAGGCTTTCCTGTTACTATTCTATTTTAAAGGCCTTGTGCTAAATTCTTCTTGGATTGGTTTTGCTGGAAGGGATTCTTTAACTTCTTGTGGGTTCTTGAAGCAAGCTCAGACAGAAATTACAGTGCAATATTATTTCAGGCACTTTTCTTGGGAGAAACCACCTGATTTCATGGCCCGACCCACCTTGACGCCAGAATCTGGGAAGCTTTTATATCAGCCACAACATGTAGGAAATAATAACTCATGAAAACTCTTCTTTGCAGCAGGAGGAAGGCAAAACATATGCTGTCCCAGATGATTCCTGCTTCCCCACTGGGTAGTGTACAGGGTGAATTAGCAGCAGCTGTAGTAACAGTAGAAAAACACAGAATAAAATTAACATCCATTTCCATTGCTATTTCATAAAATATGGAGTACGGACAGGCTTGGGAAATACAGGCATGAAAGGAGCAGTCTGATGGCTCTGACTGACTTATGAGTTGATTTATTTACAAGGAGGTCACACACTTCCAATCCAATATCAACACTGATTCATAAGGCTGACCATGCAGTGAACTCTTCACACTATACGGCTCAGGAGAGTCCCTTTAATATGGGAGTATTTCTGTCTCTCAGGAAGAAAGGCACCTCCAACAAGGGCCACAGAGAAATAATGTCCCAGTGCCAGAGGAAATGCTCTGATACAAAAGAAAACACCCATGCTGGGAATGGGCTATACCCAGGGATGACCAGCAGAATAATGAACATAGCATGGCTTATTAGAAGGACTATCAGTAGTATGCCTTCTCTTAAGTGAAAAACAAAGTCCCAGTGAGGCTTTGGCAAAGTATAGTCTGAAATAGAAACCACATATTAAAAAAAATGAATCTTTTTAAAAAAGACTGGGTGTGGTGGCTCACGTGTATAATCCCAGCACTTTGAGAGACTGAGGCAGGAGGACTGCTTGAGGCCAGGAGTTCAAGACCAACCTGGGCAATATCTCTACAAAAAAATTAAAAAATTAGCCAGGCATGGTGGTGCAGCTACCCAGGAGGCAGCTACTGTGGTCCCAGCTGCTCAGGAGGCAGAGGTGGGAGGATCGCTGGAGCCCAGGAGCTCAAGGTTACGGTGAGCTATGATTGTGCCACTGTAGTCCAGCCTGGGTAACAGAGACCCTGTCTGGAAATATTTTTTAAAAAATAGATAAATAGATAAATAATAATAAATAAATAGAGAGCGCACTGTGTCCAAGTAGCACCCATTCTGGGTGCCATGGTAGACCACTGTGATGTAGTCCTCGGTTCTGGTGCAAGAGGCAGGGTGGTGGCAATGACACTTCTGCCTTTGTCTTGGCAGGAGTCTAACTCTAGAAATCCTCATGCTCCTCCCAACTGTTTCCCTGAGTTTGAAGCTCTCTGAGTTTCCTGAGGACAAGAGGAGCCTGAAGTCAGAGTTACTTAATGACCCAAGACGTTAAATGGAGCAACAGCAGGTTTGAGTGGGCTTCTGGAATCCTTCGTAATCATGACTCCAAAACTCCGGGGAGTTACTACAGCACTACATCCAACCTCCAGACCTCAGACTCAAGTCCTCAGCATTTCAGAAGTTTCAAGAAGACGATCAAAGAGGCTTAGCATAAGGCATCTCATGTTATAGACAACAGATTCACAATGTACTACAGTTCTATAGCCTCCATCTGGAGATAACTGACCCCACTTTCATATCTTTATGTGCTTTGGCCCACTTTTAAAATTAGAACAATACAACTATCCCCCCTCTTCTGCCTTTCTGCTTCCACGTTTGCTTTTCATACTTACGCATTTGATAGCCTTTGACTGTGCAGGCCAGGCTGAAAGCTTGGATCAACCAACAACTATTGTGCACCAGTGTTCCAATGTATCCACATGCTCCTATCTGAAAAACAAAAGAGGGGGATAATTCTGAAGCTCTGCACCCAGAAAAAAATGTGGTGTTTTATGATCCCAATGTGTGCAAGAATTCACAAGGTCTCAGTGATAATGATTCCAGGAGATGCCAATTGTACCTAAACATTCAGTCACCTTGTGATGCTGCTTCAGGAGTAGTAAATTCCTGGGAAAAAGTAAACCGAACGAGTAAAGGAAAGGTCTTTCATGTAATGTTTTCTGTACTTGGAAGCACCAGTTTATCAAGAGGAAGTCTTGGACGATCACAGAAATAAATCCCAACTCTGTGATAATTAATGGGTGTGCACTGAACCCTAGGACTTGGACTTTGGTACAGTTATTTTCTTACAAGCAAGACAAATATAACCTATGCTGTTCCCTGGAGGTCATCCCAGACCTAAGCTACAGGGTGTAGCTCTTAGAACAGAACAGAGTATGTGCTTTGTGTCTTGTTTGACCAATTCTCTCGGTAAAGGAATATATTTTTGTAAATTGGCAGGTGGTTATCTCATAACAATGAATTTTTTGTTACAGTTAAGTTTAAATCCTGAGCTGGAAAATGTTTAAACAAGTATGAATCATTGCAAGCCAATACATAAAGGTGACAGCTACATTGTGTGTGTTTCCTGGGAACATGTGAGGGAGGAGAATATCATTAGGATTTGCTCCCACAGCAGCGGTTACTCAGTATGGATTCCCCAGCCCTGGGAATATTCCAGTCCTACACCGTCATGTCCTGCTTTTGTTCCTGTTTTCCAGGCTAAAAATGCCTCCCCTCTTTGTCTCCCTGCAGACCCTTCAATCTATTTATGAGGCTCTGATGAGTTCAAATGGCATCACCTCCAGGAAGCTTCTTCCCAGCTTATCTAAGCAAGATATTAGGCATCCTTTTTTCTCGCTTTGTTTCTCAAAAATGTTGTAATAATTATTTAACAGATTGCATCATAATTATTTATAAGTAGGTCTACCTTCCTTTTTAGAATGTGAATTCTTTGAGGGCAAAACCTGAGAACTGTTTATCTCTATTTCTTCAATACATCAAATAGTGCTTAGCAACAAACAGGTCTATAATACAGGTTTACAGAATGAATGAATGAACAAACTTTGAATCCACACATTTCCCAAGCGTGGCTGTGAAATCAGCCTCTGGCAACAGATTCCTCACCATCAGACCGGCTTTAGAATGAACCAGCATTCTGTTGTCCTGTCTCATGCTCTCTTCAGCAACTCTCAATGCTACTCCAAATGTAAATTGATGTCAGAGGGGTAGAAGTGACCAATAAAATTCACTTTCACCATCACCTAGAAGATTAACCTTTCAATGGACTTCAGACAAAATAAATTATCCAAATACCTATTCATGGCTACATAAACGTGGCTTTCCAAGACTTCTAGACACAGTGATGCACGTGCCCCCGCCAAAAATCAAGGAGATATCACAACTGAATTGCCTGGTGAGCTCATCCCTAAGCAGCTAGGAAGGAAGAAGCAGAAGATACTTCCTCACTGCTCTCTCAGTGCAACAGCAGTTACAGCCTGGGAGACGCTGGCACAGGGATGAACTTTAAGTGAGCGCCAGTCAGAGAGCTATTAACTCCTTCAGCTAAGGAGAGGTTGTTGCTTAATTTCCTGCAGCACTAAGTCACTGAAATGGTGTCACTGTGTCCTGATAGGTTGAAGCGACTCTGGAATTACCAGTGGGCAGTGTGAGTTACATGTCATGTTAGGGGAAGAGTTGTGTTCTGAGACATAGCTACTTCAGAGCAGAGCAGCCAAGCTTTGTCGGGGCCTGGTGTGTGGGGAGGGGGGGTTCCCTCAACCTTACATGGCTCTAGCTGTGTCCTAATCAGAATGTCTATACTCAGAGACAGCCAGACAGAAAGCTGCATTTTCTCTTCTATCTGCCCACATCTTATGAGTACATAAAACATTCTTGCCTGCAATAGCCCATTCCACCTCATTCCCTACCGCACCTAGTATCATAGAGAACCACGCCCATTTTGTCTCACACTTCTACAGCTCTTTCTAGATAAGAGGGTTGCTTTTTGCCAACAGAATACAGCTTTTGAAAAGATTCAATGGCTCGAATTCAGCTCTTAACAGGGCCACTTCATAACTCATACTGGGAGTGATGACAAATTGTTCCTCAGAAGAGACAGAATTTTAATTAGTAAAAGACATTTTAGAATTTATGCCTATGAACACATATCCTTTAGCCATGTGACCTTGAAATGGTGAAAATGAGCCAAAAAGATTCTGTTTAATGTGGCAACACAGAGAAGAATAAATGGCTTTTCAATTCTGAATTTGCAGCATCTTATTTGGGGCTTTTAAGAGAGCAACACGACAAGCACTGGGCTTTTAATAACCACTGAGTGGATTGTTTACTCTTACACGGAAACTGTGTTATGCAGTGGGAACCACTTACTGACAGGATATTTTTCATCGTAATCACAAAAACGTTGTATGCGATCAGCCAGTCCCAGTAGCGCAGGATGCTTTTGATGGGTTTCAACAGCAAATCGCCCCCAAAGAGCAGGAAGTAGAAACAGGCCACCAGGTACCCCATGCAAAAGATGCTGATCCTGGTGGTCCCAGTGATGAAGATGATGGTGAGCACGAACCAGAAGAGGTAGCTGAAGACGATCACTTTGGACATGTCTAAGTAAGATCTGGAAAACAAAGCCAATGACAAAAGGACAACAACAAACAAAAGCAAAATCAGGAAAGTCTTTAACAAGGGAAGAAATTCATGCTCTCTACTGCACCTCGCAAATCACACTGTGAGTTTTCATTTCATCCTGCTATCTAGGAAACCCTCAAATAGTAATAGACCAATAGATGAGTTGTGGAAACCGTGTGTACGCTTCTCGTCACCTTATTCAGGCCAAATTTCTCACAAACAACAACATTTTCTGCCTACCACTTGAGTACTCAAAATTCTCCTTTCTGTTTCTGTGGGAGGCATGAATAATTGTATGGCAAAAGAAATTCTAAGATACAGATGCCTTCTGGCTAGTGAAAGAAATGTTAAGAATGGATGAACTAGAAGGTAAACAAATTTATATTGAACACAAAGGTTTTATTACAGGTGGAAATCTTTCCCTACAGATGGGAGGAGGCGATTCTGAGCAACTATCCACAGCCATGGTGAGGCTTTTTTGTTCTTTCCAATACTCTGTTTTTGGAGGTCCTCGGGCTGAGTCAGGATTCCCTTTGCGGGCCACCCATCCCTGCTGCTTTCCTCATGGAAGGTGAAGCCAGCGTTCAGGTGTCAGTCTTGCAACAAGCAGCAGCTCTAGCCTGCGGGTCAATGTTATCTGACAGGAGTCACACCTACAGGCCAAGCCCTAACTGCATTTCTTGATTAGAACTTTTTGGTTTTGGGGGTTTTGCCTTGGTAGTTTCTTTTGGCACATATGGGAAGAAGCAGAGGAGAACCAATTCTGGATTAATTCTTTGATTAATGGGTTCTTGTTTTGTAGGATGTTAGTGAGTAAACTGCTTAATAAAATATGCACCACACTTGAGCTATTCAGCATCATTAGGGGATGATTCTGAGTTGTGCCTTAGTACATTTCTCAGACAAGTAAACTTTTACCCTTTACCCTTTTTAAAGTAAAACGCTTAAATATGTTTATAATTCTTTTTTCTAAAATATATAAACCCTTCCTTGACTTCATAATGGAGAGTGAATGAAATGTCAGTATCTCCCTGTATCCCTGGATCATCACAAATAAAGGTAGTGATTTGTATGAGCCTAGGGGCCTTCTGAAGTGTGTGTGGTTTTAATTCAGTGGAATTGGGCTGCTGCCATTTTGAGTGTATGTGCAGGCCCATGTGTGACTGTGAGTACAGCTTATTCTTTCCATAACGTTCCTTCCTGGCCTGCAGCAGTCAATTCCCGCTTTACCAGCCCTGGCCTTCACATCTTGGCGCTGAACCCACTTTGGGTCCTGAATTCATAAAACTAAGCTTGTGAGGAGAACATGGAAAACATCAATAAACATGCTTCAAAGAAGAGCCTTAAGGATTTCTGAATAGAGAGACTGAGCCCTGGTGACAGGTACTGTGGCTAAGGGGCCACCTAACTCTCAGGGCTCTGGCCGCTTTCCAGAGATCCCAGGGTGCTGTGGAGCTGACCCCTGTTGGAGAGGAAGAGGGGAGCACGGCTGTGCTTCTGACCAGCAAGCATGTGCGCTGGCTTCCTACTCACTGCTGTGGCATTTGACAGGTCACTTCCTGAGGGGGGTCACTTTGCTGGCAGTCCTCATTGAGAAACAGAACAACAATTTGAAATAACTAAAGCAAAAATCAGCTTTAAAAATCAATGGCACACAAAAGCTTTCCATTGGAGTTATGATTTAGGTTTTAAATGAATACACTGAAAATACTTATGTTCCCTTTGCAATAGTAAATATTGGGCTGGACTGATTGTTTTCTTAGCATCACAGAGAAGAGGTAAAAATGGAAGTCTTACCTTAGATCAGTGCCTAGTTTAGTACTTAATTCACAAATAGAATGGTCAAGTCCATATAGCATATTGTTTTAAAGCAAATTCACTTCCTGATTTACTCAATTTATATCGAGCCTCTCGTGCTACCAAAAGGCACACAAGTGCTTAAACATTGATTTGGGAGCTGGATTGCCTGAGTTCCAATCCCAGTTCTGCTGTGGCCTACGTCTCATCTCGTCGCTGCAGTTTCCTCCTCTCCACAATGGGGATAACAGCATGACCTCCTTGGGCTGGGGTAAAATGGCTCCATGTGTGCAAAGCCTGGACCAGAGCCTGGTGCAAAGGCAGTAGCAGGTGACTGACAGTTATCTGTATTGGTATATGTATTATGGGCCGAGAACTGTAAGTAGGGGGATGGGGACAAATACAAAAGCAAGTTAGACGTGATCTTCACCCTAAGGCTACACCTTAGAAGTGGGGATAAGACGGGTTCTTCAGATACCAACACCAGTCAGAAGATGATCCATACCATGTAAACAGGAATCTCTGGAAGACTGGAAGCTGGAGAGTGACTCCATGTGTGGGGTCGGCCAGCTCGGGTACTATCAGTGAACTACCTCCACATGGATGGCATGTGTGCCGCGACTGCATGAGCCTCTCACTGCAACCTCGTGTGGCTCAATAGGGCAGACACTAATCAGTGAGGATGAGAGGTTAGGAAATTAGTCCCATGACATACAGCTAATAAGGGGGTATCAAAAGTCACAGCAGCTTCCTCAGATAGCTGACTATAGTGGGCAGCTGAGTGGAGTCTTAGAGGCACTGAAAGACCGAAGATCTGACTGCAGAGGCAGAGTGGGCCTGCCCTCCATGAAGTTGGCCTTGGGTGACAAAATCTCAACATGGAAACCCAGGGAATGCAGAAAGGGTGAATGCATGGTGAAAGGTCAAGCATGGTTTAAACACAAATACTGTGAGGGAAGCACGGCCCAGATCAGCTGTTATGAGGCTGGGCAGAATGGTGGAGGACAGAAAAGCTGCTAGGGAGACCTTGCATGGCCACAGGGGAGACACTGCTCAAGAAGAGCACAGGCACAAGATGGAATCTAGGGAGCCATTCCTCCTTAGTGCCCAGTGAATATAGGAAGTGAGGACGAGGAACAAGGGATGAGGAGGAGAGATGCGAGATGAGGAAGACGAATGGAGGATGAGGAGGAGGGATGGGGAATAAGGATGAGGGATGCAGGATGAGGAGGAGGGATGGGGATAAGGATGAGGGATGCAGGATGAGGAGGAGGGATGGGGATAAGGATGAGGGATGGAGGATGAGGAGGAGGGATGGGGGATAAGGATGAGGGATGGAGGATGAGGAGGAGGGATGGGGATAAGGATGAGGGATGGAGGATGAAGCGGAGGGATGGGAGATAAGGATAAGGGATGGAGGCTGAAGAGGAGAAATAGGGGATGAGGAGGAGAAATAGAGGATGAGGAGGAGGCATGGAAGATGAGAATGAGAAATGGAAGAGAAGGAGGGATGGGGATAAGGATTAGTGATGGGGATTGAGGATGAGCGATGGAGGATGAGGAGGATAGAGAATGAGGATGAACTATGGGGATGAGGATGAGGGATTAAGGATAAATAGGAGGACTGGAAGATGAGAATAAAAGATGGGGATAAGGGAAAAGGGGATGAGAATTGAGCTATGAGGATGAGACTGAGGAATGAAGAAAATGAGGAGGAATGAATGGAAGATGAGAAATGAAGGATGAAGGAAGGAGAGGGATAGGGATAAGGATGAAGGGATGGGGGCCAAGAATGAGCTATGGAAATGAATTGAGGGATGGAAGAATGAGTAGGAGGAGGGAAGATGAAAGAAAGGAAGGGATGAGGAATGAAGGCAGAGAAGAGGATGAGGAAGAGGGGATGGGAGATCAATGGATAAACTATGAAGAATGAGGATAAGGGAATACAAGGATGAGAATGAGGGGTGAAGATGAAGAGGAGGGATGCAGGAAGAAAGAGAAATGGAGGATGAGGAGGAAGGATGGGGATGAGGTAGGAGAAATGGGGGATGAGAAATGAGTCCTATGGGGGAATGTAGATAAAGGACTGAAAAGATGAAAGGCCGGGTTAGGCTGGCTCACGCCTGTAATCCCTGCACTTTGGCGGGAGGCTGAGGCGGGCGAATCACGAGGCTAGGAGATCGAGACCATCCTGGCCCAACACGGTGAAACCCTGTCCTGGTACGCTAAAAATACAAAAAAAAATTTAAACCGGGCCGTGGGTGCCGGGTGCCCTGTAATGTCCCAGCTACTCCGGAGGCGTGAAGGCGCAGGAGTAATGGTTGTGAACCCGGCGAGGGCGGAGCTTGCAGTCGAGCCGAGATCTGTGCCACTGGCACTCGCAGCCTGGGCCGACAGGAGACCGAGATCTGCCCTTCAAAAAAAAAAAACAAGAAAAAGAATGAGAGGCGATGAGGAGCAAGAAAAGCGATGGAGGGATGGAGGGTGAGGAGGGGGGATGGCAGAGAAGGATGGATGGAGGAGGAGGAGTAGGGATGAAGAGCTATGAGGATGAGAAGGAGGGATGCAGGATGAGAAGGAGAAATGGAGGATAAGGAGGAGGGATGGGGATAAAGATGAGCCATGGGGATGCGGATGAAGGATGAAAGATTGGGAGGAGGGATGAAAGATTAGGAGGAGGGATGGAGGATGAGGAGGAGGAATGGGGATAAGGATGAGGGATGAAGGATGAGAATGAGGGATGGAGATAAGGAAGGATGCAGGATAAAAAGGAATGTGGATACAAATGAGGGATGGAGGAGAAGAAGGAATGGAAGATGAGGAAGAGGAATGGGAATGAAGATGAGCTATAGGGATGAGAAGGAGTAATGCAGGATGAGAAAAAGAAATGGAGGTGAGGAGGAATGGGGATAAAATGAGCTATGGGGATGTGGTTGAAGGATGAAAGATTAGGAGTAGGAATGGAGGATGAGGAGGAGAAATGGGGAAAAGGACGAGGGTTGGGGATAAAGTTGAGGGATGGAGAACATGGATGAGCTATGTGGATAAGAATGAGGGATAGAGGATGAGGAGGAAGGATGGAGATGAGAGGGAGGAAAGGGGGATGAGGATGTCCTACGGGGATGAGTATGAGGCATGAAGGATGGAGGGCAGCAGGATTAGGACTAAGAATGGGGATGAGGGATTAAGGATAAGTGGGAGGGATGGAGGATGAGAAGGAGGAATGGAGGGTGATGAGGAGGGATGGGGATAAGAATGAGAGATGGAGGATGAGAATAAGTGATGAAGATGAGGAAGAAGGCTGGAGGGTGAGGAGGAGGGGTGGGGTTAAGAATGAGCTGTGGAGATGAAGATGAAAAATGGAGGATGAGTAGGAGAGACAGAAGACGAGGAGAAGGGATGAGGATGAGGGATGAAAGATAAGGAAGAAAGATGGGGGATGAGGAAGAGGGAGGGAAGATGAGGATGAGCTATGGGGATGCAGAGGAGGGATAAGAGATGAGCGGGAGGACTCTCCACTGGAGAGCTGGTATTATTGGGACAAGTCAGCTTTGGTCTGAACAAGAGGAGGAGGACTGAGGCCATAAAGAGGTGGTTTACACGGACAAAAGCAGGTGCAGTGCTGTAATTCAGAGGCTCAGCCTCCAGGCTGCTGACTCACACTGTCCAGCATTTATTAGCTTCAGTGCATACA